GTGGTCACGTGGACCTCATGAGGGTGGAGGCAGTGGCTGGGAAGGGCGAGAACCAGGATTTGAGCCCAGACCTGTCTGCTTCTGAAGCCCATTTTCTTAAACTTGCAGGTAAAAGGAGGTGAAAATAACAGTGCTTCCAAATGTCCATGTTCTGGCTTACCTACCTACTAAGTCTCGAGAAATTTCAGCTACCAACACATAGGGAGTTTGCACTTGTTTACCGACTCATTTAATAAGCATTTATTGGAGGCCTACTGTGTGGCAGTTGCTGAAGCTGCTTCCACTCATCACACACCCTTGATGAGTACCTGCTATGTGCCAGTGCCTTGGCACCTCACTCATTCAATCAGCACGTGCTCGTTGAGCGCCTGCTTCATGCTGAGACACCACCGAGGCACTGGGGTCTGGCGGTGAATATAACAGATGCAGTTCCCAGCGCTCCTGGTCTCTTGCCTCCAGGCATTGCACGGTTGACCTGGTGCACCCATTATACAGCTGAGGAAACTGAGGCCTAGAGGCTCCCAGTGGCATGTGTTAACTGGATGCAGCAGCATAGGAAACACTGTCATAGGGATGAGACAGGTTTGCACAGAAGGTGCTGCTGACTGTGGGGTCAGCTAGCCTGGGGTCAGAGCACACCTCTGCCCCTTCGCTCCTGTGTGTGCTGGCCGAGGCCCCCAGAGTTGCCATGAGCTATGAGTGTGGCTGTCCACACCACGAGGGAGGGAGCCCATCGACTAATTCTCCCTAGTATCCATGGCACCCAGCCCAGTGCCTGGCACATGGCAGGTGCTCAGCTACAGGTCGCTGATGCAGTGCCCACTGACTCCCCCTTTGTTAATGATGGGGCCAGCCCAGCAGCATTATGGGAGGGTGCTCGGGGGTGCCCATGACTCCTCACGGCGGCAGGTGGCTATGCCAGGCAGCCCTTCCATTTTGGTGAGACAAAGGGACACATCCCAGAACTTTCAAGATTTTCTGGATTCTCCTTAGGGAATGAGCATGCCCCCACCTAGCATTTATTCATGCCTGTCTCCCAGTGGCTTGAAGAAGCTTCTCTCCATCATCCCTCACCCTGGCCAAGGCTGGGGAGACAGGCACAGTGATGTCTTGATGGCCAGCCAGCCATCCATCACGCCGTGCCAACAGAAAGGAGTTCTGTCTGAGCCAAGCCATGCAGTGAGCACAGTTTAAAAAAAAATTGACACTTCCCAGGCCCCTGGACAGGAAAGGAGCGTTTCATCCTGCTCAGGCAGCAGGGCTGGGGCCCCGCAGGAGGCCTCTGAAGGCGGTGACTTCTGCAGTCACCACCCAGAAGGATGCACGCCAGGACTCTGTCCTCCGAGGGGCAGTGAAAGAGGAAACAGACAAGACTGAGCAGCGGGTGGATTGCTGAGTAGTAGTCCCGGGAAGAGAACACACCCTTCCTTCCTTCCTGTTTCCCCATCTCTCCCTTGCTGAACGCCCCTCCCTCTGTTTCCCAGGCCCCCACAGTCTGTACCATCTGTGTTGTGTTCCCGTTTCAGGCCCACCCACTGGCGCCCCACGGGCACCAGACCTTTCCGGAAAGGTGGGACCCAGTTCACGCTCCTCACATCAGGTCCTCGGCCCTGGGCAGAGCTCCAGTGCTCACCATCCGGTGGCAGCCAGGCTGGGCCCACGCGGCTGTGCTGGGTCACTGTGGCTCGCGCACCCTCGGGTGGTGCCGCTCTCGGCAGGCCTGAGGACTAGGGCCCCCACAGCCGGGGCTCAGAGAGCCTGTGCCCTTGACCTGGACACCGGCACTCGCAGGCTGGCACCCCAGACCTCCGCCTCTGGACGCTGACCACTCCACGTGCGCCCAGGCTGGCAGACATGACCACAGCAGGGCCGGTCTGCTGCCCTCACACTCCCTGGCTCCGCCCTGCCCTGGCCCTCTTCTGCCCCTCCCGACACCACCTCCTCCCCGTCCTCGCCACCTCCCATCCACTTCCCATTCAGCTTCGGTCATCTGCGTCCTCTGCCTACTTCCCCTGGCCTCTGCTTCTCTCACTCTGCCCACTTCCCGCTTCCTCTTCCTCATGCAGTTGATTCTCAGCATAGGCGCGACTCCACTCAGCAACATACACAGCACGTCTACTGTGTGCTGGCCCTGCCTCAGTCAGGGGTGCGGGCGCAGGCCTGGACGCAGGTCCTCCCTCTCCTCTCCCTTGCCCTTCTCTGCCTCCTGTAACTGTGTCCTCTCCCCCCTTTAACTCTCTGTCCTCCCTTGACCGTGCCCCACCTGGCCTCCGCCATCAGCACCAGGCGTGGAGCCGGGGCGCAGCCTGGCACGGCCGGGCAGGTTCAGAGACGGAGCCGGATGCTGCCACCATCCCCACGTGGCAGGCGATGGCTGAGACTGAGCGACCGAGCGCCCGAAACACATTCATCACGCCCGCCTCCTTTCAGGGCCAAGACAGGACGGAAATGACTTTTGTCAGCTCTGCGGCAGCCCACTGCCCCTGGCAGCTCCAAGCTGTTTATTAAAAAAATAAGAAGAAGAAAAGGAAATAAAAGAGTGCGAATGCCGTCTCCCCCTGTATTCGGGGAGCGATTCCAAAGCAATGATGTTGACAAACACACCTGCAGGTAATCACAAAGGAGCGCTCGGCCCTGGCCCGGGTACTGTCCAGTGTGACCGAGATGGACGATGACAGCCAGCAAATGGAAAAGGAGCCGCGGCTCGGAACCCCGCGTGGCTTCTGTTTTAGCAAGTGGAGAGTGACCTTGCCAAGGAACTCAGGAATTCAGGCTCAAGGTCACCTGCCCACTCAGCCTTCTGGTCCCCCCTCTGGGAACATCAGCGGAAACTCATTGCATCCAGCAGTAGTTAGGCCTGGAGATGGAAAGATTATTAGTAGTGATAATGGTGACTATTAATGGCTAATTATTAATGATGAATAGCCATTAATTATCGGTTATTAATTATTCATCATGACTCTTAACCGAACAGGCACTGGGCCAAGACTTTCCTCTCCTTCCAGGGGCTGTCCTGTGAGGTGAGGTGGAGGATGGAAGGTAGGCATGGAGGAAGCTGGGCCTGGAGCAGAGTGAGCTCCTGCCCTTAGCTCAGCTCTGAGAGGGGTGGTTGGAGGTTGGGGAGGGAGCAGGTAGCCTGATCAGGAGCACACTGAGGAGGGTGAGGGGAGATAGGCGATGGAGATAGCTTGTCACATCCCAACATCAGGGTCTACCAGTGGCCCCACCCCCACCCCCATATCCTGACCCTCCTCCTCCCTGCCACCCAGGTGATGAGGTGAAGCCTGGCAGTACAGCCTGCCCCATGCCCGACCCTGGACGGGCTCCTTTCACGGGGCGCCATTTCCATGAGGGCCTCCCTCAGGTCTCCAGGCAGGCGGGGACGCCTGCCAGCCCCGGGGGCTTACAGAAGGGGAAAGCTGCAGTGCCCCAGAGCTCAAGGAGAGTACTGGAAAAGATCCCGCCATGCTGTCTGCACCCCTGTCTCCTCGGGCGTCACTTCCAGGAGCCTTTGGCTTGGCTTCCTTCCCAGATTTAAAAGCCCTTTGGGTCACTGTGGTTCATTCTTTTCCTTCTCAAATGTGCTGTGTGATCGGGAGTTGGGGTGATGCTATCACGCTGCAGTGAGCCAGAAAGCTCCTCAGATTCTTGGGCCAGAATCAGCCTCCCGGAGTGGAGGGCTGAGTCTTGCAACACACAGTCCTGATGTTACAGGGAGGCAGCGAGGCAGTGAGAGGGCTGCATTTCCAGGGCTCTGGCCCCCAGCTCCCAGCTTGTCAGCAGTACCCAGACTGACATGTGGAACCCTTCTGCTTTTTTTTTTTTTTAAAGATTTATTTATTTGTGCATACAGAACTGGGGTACAGGCCAGAGGCTCAGGGGCGGTGAGAGGCTTCACCAGAGACAGAGTGGGGAGCAGAACAGGCAGATCGACGAAGTACACTGCTGAGGGGAGCAGCGGGCGGGTCAGGAGAGGTCTGCCACACCATGTGGTCACCTCCGGGGCAGGCGGGAATTGAACTCATGCGGAAGCAGCTTTAGATTCTCAGTGCTGTGCTTTAACCCGCTGCGCCACCAGGGAGGGCCAGCTTTTTTTTTTTTTTTTTTTTAAATTACAACTTAGCTGGTGGGCAGGAAAGGGGTCATGGCACATGGTGATTTGGTGATGGGAAACCCAAGGGGATTGCAACTGAGATGGAAAAACGAACAAAAAATATGTAAAAATAAACTAATATAATAAAAAAAATTTAGAACTTAAAAATAAAAAAAAAATCAGGAGAAAAAACAAAACTGGCCGATGGGCTCCAGTTTCTCTCCCTGAAACGGTGCCCCTAAGATTGCAGCCCCTGTGAGGTCCCCACTCATCAAAGGGAAAGTGCCTGGCCCCACGCTGCAGAAAAGCCAAGCCAAGTCTCAGAATAGAAACCATCTGTTTTCTACCAAGGCTGGGCTCAAGCCTATGCCGTGTGTCTTTCCTTGGGAGGACAGGCTGTACCCCACCCACCCCATGAGCTATCGGGTGTCATGAATGCCAGTGAGGCACACGTCTCTGTCATCAACTCTCAGAAGCCCTGTTGGTGAGCCTGTCCTCTGGACTTGGTCCTAAATAAATAAATAACCTCCATGGGGTTCCTCTGAGGGTCCCCCTCATGTCTTCAAAAAACAGGTCACTTGTTTCACAATCGGGTGACAGGTGCCATCATGTGGGACATGATGCCTCATAAATCCAAGTCCTCCATCCTGGCTGCATTTTTAATCTACTCAAACGTACTTAGCTGGGTTTAATTATAGACAGAAATTGCATTTCAGAAAGCAACAAGAAATCATTTACATGGCTTGAATTTGTGCATTAAATCACACGGTTCATTTGCGACTGCGGTAGGGATGGCGCTTCCAGAGAAAAATAGGATTCGCGCCTCTGCTTAGTGGCTCTCGCACCACTTGCACAAACTGTATGAATTGCACAATTTCTACTGACTGCGTTTTTCTTCTTGGCGCAGGATAAGCGAGGAGGCCGGCGACGCTGAGAGGACCCTGAATGCGTCCGCACGGGGCGGAGCCAGGGACGTGACGCACAAAGTCTCCGGGCAGGAGTCATCTCCCCTCTCGCTCTGCAGCCCAAAGTACTGCCTCTCCGGGGCTGGCGAAGAGTGCGGCCCCTTGGGAAAGCCCACAGAGAGATCAGGGACACCATCTTCTTCCCTGGCTTCTCGAAGGACAGGCATGTCCCCGCCGTCCAGAGAGAAGCTGCCCAGTCCTTCAGCGGCCCTGTCCGAGTTCGTGGAAGGACTTCGCAGGAAGAGAGCGCAGAGAGGCCCTGGGTCAGCTCTGGGCCTGGAGGACTGGCCCCCTGACCCCATCTACCAGACCACCGCAGTGTCCACGCTGAGGAGGGCCAGGGCCATCGGTGGGGAGGGGAACCTCTCCCCAAGGTCCCGGGCAAAATCACCCCTAGAAACGGAGGGTGCCGCCGGGAGTTCGGCCGGCCTCCTGCGGTCTTCCAGCCTGAGATGCATCTCTTTGGAGAACACGGAGGGCACCAGCCCACCCCCAGAGAAGCTCAAGACCCGGTTCAGTTCCTGCGAGTCCCTCTTCCAGTCAGGTCCCGGCCTGGGGAGAAAACTGAGCTCCCCGGCCACCCCCAGGGACAAGCTCTTGTCCCCTACGCTATGTCCCCGGAGGCGCTGTCTGGAGTCCTCGCTGGATGATGCAGGCTGCCCTGACCTCGGGAAGGAGCCTCTCGTTTTCCAGAACCGCCAGTTCGCTCATCTAATGGAGGAACCCCTGGACAGCGACCCATTCAGCTGGAAGCTCCCCAGCCTCGACTATGAACGCAAGACCAAAGTGGATTTCGACGACTTCCTCCCTGCCATCCGGAAGCCTGAGACGCCTGCGTCTTTGGCCAGAGAAGCCAACGATGGACAAGACAGCTTGCGGCATCCAGGTGTCCACTTTGAGACGGAAGAAGCAGAGCGGACCTTCCTCTCAGGGATCAAGACCATTTTGAAAAAGACTCCTGAGCCCAACTCCGACTCCGACTCCTCCTCCAGCTCCTTCAAGAGCACCAGCAGCATCAAGAGCCGACCCCGAATCCCTCGCCCAGAGGGTGATGGTGGTGAGCGACTGTCCTCTGAGAACAGAGAGCCAGGAGCAGGGAGGAAAGACGAGGATGTTGAGAGCATCATGAAGAAGTATCTCCAGAAGTAGAAGCCTGCCCAGGTAAAGGCAGCAGACCAGACTGGGACCGTCCTTTTCAGGGATCGAAAGTCAGCAAGAGCCTGGACCCAGGTCTGGCAGCCTGGGAGGGCTGCGCAGGTGCTGCAATGCCTGTAATGCTGTGATTCGTTTTTCTAGAGACAAGGGTTTTTAGAAGTGTTAGCTGCAATCCCGTGTGGCTGAATGCAAAGCTTATCAGAAGCCTGTGCTAGATACCACCTGTTTCTCTGCACTGAACGTGTAGACCCATCGGAAAGCAAGAGGGTCCTGGGAGACAGGGCTAAAGAAGGTGCTGGACTTTTAAAATTCCCCACCCTTGGAGCCAACTCTTGCATTAAATATACAGAGAGAAATCAAGGCATTGGAAATGGGGATGGAGGGATAGGTTTGAGGAAGAAGGAACAAGGGCAAAGGTCACAGAGCAGCCCTGGGGGGGGGGGCGGGGGGGGGGGGCCAGCAAAACTCCTCTCTGCCTCCTGGCTTCCTCCCATCCTGATCCTGGAACACAGGTAGGAAGAGGAATTGTCTGCAAAGAACGCCTTCGTTTCAGGAATGTCGACCTGGTGGTCACTTAGTGCCCACAGTGACCCCCAGAGGTGGTTAGGACTATTTACTCCCACTTTACAGCTTGACAGACTGAAAATCAAATGGGTTAAGCCTCTGAACCAAATCACCCAGACAGAGCTGGGTTCCACACCACTGTGTGAGGTTCCTACGCCAGCCAGCTTCCTGACTCGCCTCGATGGAGTTGGATCGTCCGGCAGGAGGCCTGCACTGATCCTCCAGATGGAGGTAGAACCGGAACCCCAGACTCCAGCGAGACTGTTGAACAAGGGAGGATCAAGGTCACTAGCCAACCCAAGCCCCCCTGACTCCAGTGCAGTGCTACAGGCACCGGGCATTCTGCCCCAGGCTCCCTGCAACACACACAACCCCTACAGCAGGGTGCGGAAGCTCCCTCAGGGTTCAGACCCTGCAGGCCCCTCCGGTGACCCACTGCATCCACACACTCCCAGTGCTGAGTCAGCCTGTGGCAGCTCGAGGCTCACGTGCCGCCCGTGGGCGCCAGACCGCACCTAGCGTCTCGCCCAGCCCTCCTTGCAACAGGCCCAGGACAGACACCCTCGGCTGCCAGAGACCTGCTTCTCGAGAGGCAGCCTCAGCCCGTCAAAAAGCCGTTGCCCCTTCCACGGAGATGGGCTTGCACCGTATTAGAGCAAATTAATTTGACTTAACGTGGCCTTTCTTTTCTCAATTACCAAGCAGAGAGCTGATACTCATTTATATTATTATGCTCTCGGGGACACACAGGCAGCTTCAAAGGCCAAGTAAAGGACACGCGTCCACGCGGGGACCGGTCCTTAGCAGCAGGCATCAGAGAACATCTCGTCTCTGCCATCGTTTACTCGTCCAGGCCCTTCCCTGCGCCCAGCCAGGCTCGCCACGATGGGATGGCTGCCTCAGACGCCCCTCCATGAGCTAAACAAACAGAACAGCCCCGCTCCCCAGATGTGTGCATCCGTGGGGCTGGGACCTAACTGGTCCCCAAAGCTCAGTTCTGCCCCGGATGTGCCCTTACAACAAAACCCACCCAACTTGCCAAGCCTGCGTCGTCAGCTGGGAGGTGGGGGTGAAACTGCCCAAAGTAGCAACATCAGGTGTTTGACGTGAGACGTGACCTTGAGGTGCCAGCACAGAGCCTGGCGTCCAGGGGCTCTCGGAGACACCGCCTCCCGGCACGTGGCGGTTTCGGCCCTTCGGAACTGTGGCCCAAGTTTGCCTCCCCTTGTGGCCCTCTGTCGCCTACACCCCTTCCTTCCTCCCGGCCTCTCTGCAGTAATGTCACCTGGGCAAAAGGGCTCCAGGCCTCCCCGTCCTCTCCCCACCAAAGGGTGCTCTTCCGCTCTGCCCGCATGTGTTTGCAGCCCGCTGAGATGGCACTGGCCTCAAAGCCTTCGGACTCCACAGCTGCCTGGAGAGAGGAAAGCAGGCCAGGCATCCGCCCCGGCCCTGCGCCCAGAGCCAGCTGGCTGAGCTGCCCTCCAGAGGCCAGAGGGGCCCAGCGAGGCACAGCCGCGGGGCGTGGCTCCCAGAGTGCTCGGTCTGTCCAGAATAAAGTGTTGGCTCCCTTGCGTCCATGTCGTCCTGTTCTTTGCTTATGCTACTGGGGATGCTGGGGGTGGGGCTGGGGGCGGAGGGCGGTTGCTGATAGACTTAGGAGGGGACTGAAGAGTGAAACCGAAACCCACCCAAGCTCTTTGTAGCTGGGGTGCACATTGACATTTTTCTCCCTACGTATCTACATGCAGTGCCTTGTTCTTTTCCACTTGGCCAGGGTTAGCTCGGTATCATTTCCTCCAGGACACCTTCCTTGATACATCAAACTGAAGTGAATGCTACTCTGATCTTTACCTCTATCACATTTCCCTCATCTATTTATCTACATTGTGTGTGTGTGTGTGTGTGTGTTTAAGCATCCAAGAAATTTGATAAATGATGATGCAACAAACATTAATGAATCCACACACCCTCAATGCATGGGACACACTGACATACCCATCTCTACAAGTGTCCACTCATATCAGCATCCAAGAACCTGTGAACGGGGCTCTCAACCTCTGTGTCCTTCCTCACATAGACAGCCCTGCCACACACAGGCACTCAGAGAGCTGGCAGGCATTCCTGCTTCTGCAGACACCCTGTAGTTATTAGTAACACTCAAAATAGTGGTGACGTTCATTGACCACACACTGGATGCTGCCCGCTGTACTAAGCATTTTTGTAACGTTCATCTCCCTGTAACTTCAATAAAGTTCTGAGCTAGACACACATGCTATTCGTGATTTACAAAGGCAAAACTAACATAGGCTCCCACTTGGGTAGAGTGATGGCTCCAGTTAAATACCTACTGGTAGAGCCTCCATCTCCTAGGGCTGCTGTAGTGTGGACAATCACAGGCCAGAATTTGAACCCGGGGCTCAGACACCAAACCCGTGGGCCACACTTAGTGGCCACAGCACTTTCCTGTAAAGTCGGCTGCCAGAACGAGCCTGTGGATCTCATCACACCACCTTCCTCTCCCTCCAGCCAGACCAATGCACCTCCATCCAGGGATTGATGGGCCAAGCCTAGGAATGGGCTTGGCTTACTTTTACATGTTTAGGCGTGACCTTGGGCAGTTTACTCACCCTCTAGGCCTTGGTTTCTTCTTGAGCAATAGGGCTGGGAAAGAACACCCTCAATTTCCAAGCTTTTCTGACCTATGACAGCATCAGAACAGGGTTATTACACCCATTTTACAAATGGAGAAACTGAGGCTCAGCAAGACCAAGTGACTGAGTTCGCATTGAAGGCTTCGTTGTGGTGACAAGCTCTGTACTCCTACCTATTCATGCTCTTTCCAAGATGCCTCTCGGTGCCCTGCTCGTCAGCCTACTTTGGGGAGAAGCTGACGGGAGGGCGTGCAAACTCTGTGAGGAAAGATCCTCGCAGGCATTCACCTCTCCCGAGAGCTCTGATCTCAAGCAAACTCCTCAAAGATGGGCTCCCCCAGTGCCCAGCCTGCCCTCCCATCTTTGAAGGAACCCAATTTCATGCCTATTGGGTTGAGTGACTTACACCAAATTGCCATGGCATGAGAAACCACCAGACGGATTTAAACATGTCCTTTTGGAAAAGGAAAGAGATCCTCGAAATGATTCTTACTGCTGGTGCTTCATAGAGAAGCATGGACTTACACCCCCCATGTCTATGCCGGAACCCCCAAAGGATTTGGAAAGGGGAGACAAGCAGGGCTGGGCAGTGGGGTGTCCTCTGTGGTGAAGAGCAGACTTGCTGGCAGCACGGGGTCTTCTTGTCCTTCCTCCCCTGGTTCTCAGTCTTCCCTGATGCCCAGGGGCACTGGAGGTTCTGTCAATCTCCTGTGCACCTGCTTCCCTCAGCTTGCTCATGGCCCCCCTCAACTGTGAGATCCAGGGCCTGTGGCTAGTTGTGCAGGACCTCAAGTGCACCTGTCCACCCTGGCTACTGTTGTGCAGGGGTGAGCACACTCCCCAGCAAGGCCAACAAACAAGTCAGCAGAGCACAGTGCACTGTCTGTCCTGCAAATAGCTGCAGCCCACTACTTTGCATCAAGCAGAAGCTACAAGAAGCCCCAGGTCCCAGACAAACATGCACCCCACCCTCTGCATTGGGCACATTTCCTGGGCACATTTCCTGTTTTTTCCCTGCACCTACAGACCCTATATACACCCACGGGCAGTCCTAATAAATAGACTTCGGACTTCAGACCCCAGGCTCCTGCTTCAGTTTCTTACTCACGTCTCAGAGTCTCCTACATTCGGGCAACGAGCAAACGTAGCAGTCAGTGCAGTCCTCGGTGGGTTTGCAACAAGGGCCCAACGATGGGCAGTGCTAAGGAAATTCACTCTACAAAGAGTGTTCACAAGCCCTTGCCACATGCCCTGCATTGACGATGAGGCAGCGGCTGAGACCTAACAGCCACGCCCTCCCAGGACTCATGCTCAACAATCAAGCATGCTCTGGGGGAGATGACGGGCAGAGGAGGAGTAGAGGAGGCCTTGAGACCAGCGAGGAGGATATTTTAGATTGGGGGGGGGGAGGGGGAAGCCTCCTTGAGAAAGAAATATTTATGTAAAAACCTGAAGGGGCCAAGGGATCCGCACATGCCTATAACATGGGGAGAAGTTTCCGGAAGAGGGAACAGCTTGTGCAAAGGCCCTGAGATGGGAGCTTGAATGGCAGATCTGAACATGGTCATGCTTGGAGTGGACCCAGCGCCACGGTAGACTGAGGGGGGCGCCAAGCGATGTCCAACTATTTACAGATGCTGCCTTTAACTCAGAGTGAAACGGAGCCATTTGTAGTAACCAGACCTCCCACTTTGCCCATTCAGAAAGCCAAGGGCATGGGGCTCTCAGAACTAACACCAGGAAAGGGGCAGGCAAGCCAGGAGCGGGTGTGCTCTGACC